TGTCACATTTGTTTAGGTGTTCATGTGGGAACTGTCAGGCGAAGGCGGTGGAGCGGGGGAGGGGGCGGTTGTAAAGAGCTTTCTGTTACGTCAAACGCGTCATAGGTGTAGCTGTAGCGTCATCGTTGTAGCAGCTTTAGTTTGTTGTCACATGGGAGGGTGGCACAAATATGCTGCAATTTGTTACAAAACACCGAATCAATCTAAAAACCACTTGGGCGACATATACAAGGCCCACACATCACTCTGAGAAGGTAGAAAGCTCTGAAAAGTTGATTTTGCATGAGATGGGCCCTTTAAAGGTGAACATCGACAAACATTAGAGAACTACTGAGCAAAACTAACATTAGGGTCATGAATAAAACACAAGCTATAAGTATTTCATTAATAAGTAACTGCTGAACTCAGACTGATTCTAGAATTAAAATTAAAAATCGATTTCATGACGTCAATAGGCAGATTTATGAAGCTGGTGGAAGATAACAGAGACATTTCCACAGATATTTTACCATAAAAAAGCATTAACCGGAAGTGACGTTTACCCTACATCACGGCACTCTGGCTGTTATAAAAATAAACATTTTAAAGGCCCTGGAATCTTGTGAGCTTTAAGCCATTTTAGAATGTTGTCATACCTCAAGTTGTGTTTTGTTTCATTCACACATGTTTGAGTAACCTTTCATTATTATAGTCTCCAAAGCTCAAAATGCTCTGTTCCACCTTGTGATATCATGAGGTGGTAGTTTTCAAGTGAACAGCTCCTTTTACCTTTATTCAGTAAAGATTGGCATTTCCAGGCCTGAAATTATCTAAATAATTCTAGTGAAGGTGTAGACATATAGACATATAGATAAAAACACAGTGAAATTCTTCCTGTATCACCACATCACAAGGTGGAACAGAGTGTTTTCTGCTTGAGAAGAAGAGCTCATCTTAATTATTCAGGCTTTTGTGTTAAACATGTGTGAATGAAACAAAACACAACTCCAGGTCAGTTTGCGATGAGGAAACTACATGATAAAATAGACAGAAATAGAACATAGTGTAATATAGGGCATTCAAAGACAATCTACTTCCTTCTGCATCTGTAGCATTAACAGAAGCCCAGACTGCACATTAGCTGATTGCACTGACATTTCCATATTGTGAGCGCTTAAGTGGTGAGGAGGACATGACAGCTGAGAGCCTGCTGTAGGTTAATGCACATGAGTCAGACCCGCCCACTGCGTGAAGCCTATACAGTCTCCAGTCACTCCACAGAACACACTGAAGCGGCATCATCTGCCCACCCAGCTCTGCTCTCACTGATCTGATCACAGTTATAGAGGAGGCTCACGGCCAACAGAGCAACATCTCCACCTCAGGGGACCTATATCCTGCACACGTGTTCACTGAAATCACACACAACAGTGCAGTCGAGTGCAAGAGCAGAGGAACAGCAACAAAAAACTTTGAACTCTTAAGGGAACATTTTCAATTTGAACAGTTTCATATTGAGATGAATGACTGTGACAAATTGTTTGGGTTCACTTTTTGTTTGGTTTAGGATCATATGTTAATACATTTGTAATGAATAAGTTCAGAGCACCCAGAGGAAACCTGTGCAGACACAGGATGAACATGCAACTCCACAGATAACGGCTATGTGCCACACTGGATTTGGTGCGGTGGCTCACAACAAGAAGGCTCAGGCTGCTGAGGCCATTCTGTGTGGAGTTTGCATGTTGTTTATATGATGACAGTCTGAACAGAAGATGCAAAAGTGGAGTCGCGTCTTCTGCATTTAGTTTTCGGGAGGAAATCTACGTGCATACGGTGACGCAAAACCATCGACTGGTTCTCCCATCCAGAATTTGACAGGTGATTGCAGATCCTTCTCTGTTCACTAATAATATCTCTGCAGATTCTGTACATTGCTTGCATGTTCTCCCTGTGTCTGTGTGGAGTTTGCATGTTCTCCCTGTGTCTGTGTGGAGTTTGCATGTTCTCCCTGTGTCTGTGTGGAGTTTGCATGTTCTCCCTGTGTCTGTGTGGAGTTTGCATGTTCTCCCTGTGTCTGTGTGGAGTTTGCATGTTCTCCCTGTGTCTGTGTGGAGTTTGCATGTTCTCCCTGTGTCTGTGTGGAGTTTGCATGTTCTCCCTGTGTCTGTGTGGAGTTTGCATGTTCTCCCTGTGTCTGTGTGGAGTTTGTGTTGTGTCTGTGTCTGCGGCATTGTAAAATGGGTCAAGCACAGAGGACAATTAGAATGCTAACTGCACACTTCCTGACAGTAAAACACTTTATAATTAAATGCAAACACTACACAGCTGACTTACTTCAACCTCAGGAGCTGCTTATACATTATATCTGTACTGGGGCAAGACACATTTCCTGAAATTCATGGCCAAAAATCAGGTACTGGCCCTCTCATTTGAAACATGTTCAACGGTGCATCTGATCAGTGGAACTCTTTCAGGGAGTTCCTCATTGTGAGTGAACACAGCCTGAAGACAGATCCATATGAGCTTATTTCAAAGCCAGTGCCACGGGTAACCGCTTTGTACCCTGCATCAAAACAATTACACAATCTCCATAAAACCACACACAAAAATAGAAGTAGTCATAAGAAGCAGCTCTCCATACAGACAGTGAGAGACGTTTTACAAGTGTCACTGATATTCTTTATGGTGTTAATAAAACCATAGAAGCAGTAGCAGGAGTCCCGTGGTAATGAGCAGGGCGTATGCTGTCTGACAGCTAATGACAAAACCTCATTTAACAAACACTGTGTTCTATTAAAGAGAGAGACCCACCCTCTACACTGCAGCACTAACCACAAGCTTAAAGTGTATGACAGACAGACCATTTGGTTTGGTGGGATACTACCTGTGGTCAATGTTAATCATGGTTTTACATCAGTCAAGGAGCAGTTTGTGGAGAAAAGTTGAAAAGTTATTAAAAAGTAGCAGTGAATTCTAAAATGGAGTCTCTCTACCTATGTCATCAACATGGAAGAGATAGATGGAAAAGACAGATGGATAGATAGACAGGTAGATAAACCAACCTTTATTGTTCCCAAGAGGAAAATCTTTTTCACAAACAGTGTAAAAAAAAACAACAACACATAGATACAAACAATACAATAAAACAATTGGACACAGGAAAACACAAACACACACACACACACACACACACACACATGCACACACACAATGAGGAGGTTCCAGATTACAGACTGTTGAGCTGTGATGACATAAAGGACAAAGCTTTAACCCTCTCAGAGAGAGGAGTCTCAGAGTCCAGTATGTTTGGCTTGAGAGAGCACACACAAGTGTCTGTGGAGAGGGTGATCTGGGTCCCTTCCGCCTCCATCCACAATACACAATAAAGCATTTCATTTATAAAAAAAAATAAAAGTGTTGTCATTTATTTTCATGAGTGTAATCATATTTGTATAGATTAGTCTTTCTCTTACTTTTTGTCCTTGGTATTGGTTGCTAACAGTTATGGAATTACCTCTATGTCACATCTGCTGCCAGTGTCCAACCAAAAAGTAAAATTATAAACTTGACCAAACTTGAAAAAATTTAAACATGTGAACTACTGTGTGTTAGTAAAATGAGTAGTCTAACCTGTCACACTCACTTTAGCCACAACCTCAAAGGCTCTGTTTGTTTAAACAGTTTGCAGTGGTCCAAAGTTATTCCTCCCTTTTCTCAAGCATTCTGAGCATACAAGTTGTGCTGTGATGGGAAAGCTTACTTGCTTGCAAGCGATGCACTTCCTGATTATCAGACAATAAAAACAGACCTCCAGGTACTTTTTATCAGTTTGTGAAGAAAAGTTGAAAAATATCAGGACGTAAAGTTGAGTTTTAAAAAGAAATACATCTATCTGTCTAAATGAAAAAAAAAATAAATAAAAATAAAAAATCAATGTAGATCAACGCAATGTCCCCAAGAAACATAGAAACTGGCTCTGTATGTGTAGGGCAGAATTGTCAAAAGTATCGGAAATCAGATCAAGCTGGACCAAATTCTGTTGTTGTATGGCTGGAGGGGCAGATGGCACAGATTTGCAGCCTTGTTTCCATTAGTCTGACCCAGACAGTACCTTACCACCAAGTGTAGTAAAAGAATAATGACACAGTGTAGTGCTTTGAGAGAACAAGAGCAACATAGACTAGTATACGCCCATGGACCACTATGGAACCTACCTGAGGGATTATACACATATAAGACCACATGGGAATAGACCCACCGCTTAAGCTTAGCTCAACAATGCAGCCATAGATTCCCTTAAAAATAGGCAAAGAAAAGAACAGATACGTAACCGCATTTCATAACGACTGATCCAAGCTATAAGAGAGCATTCATCCGAGTTATGGCTTCAGAAATAAAGGAAGTCCAAGCCCTCTGAGTTCTAATCTGTGGCATTCTCAGATGCGCCTAGAAGGAAGGAGATTGAACTCCTCAAACAGCAGATGGTCAGGGTTCTCCATTATTTGTTGGGCCTTACCCTGTTATAGATGTGCTGCTGCGGGGACTGCTGTAAGCCTATAATTTTACCTGCCACTTTGACCAACCGAGCCAGACGATTTGTACTAGACACAGAGAGGGCACCAAACCCACAGACATTCCAAAATGCAACAATAGATTAAATAAAACTCTGATGAAAATGTCATAAGAACATTACTGATATTAAAAGAATGAATTTTCCTTAGCATGGTTGTTTTAAGTCCAAAATTGTGGTTTGTAAAGTTTGAGAAACAGATTTTAACTAGAGTGATAGGTCTTATGGCTGTTAGGCATCACTAAGGCTGATTAACCCTGAGTTTTTAAACTTTAACTATTATCTTTTTTTGCTGAAGGTCTATGGGAAAAATGAAGGAGAAATGTATTTCCAGAAGTGGCAGATGGGCAATCAATGTTGAGCTCCATTGGATCGAGTTTGAAATGTTAGTATAGTGACAACACTAGTGTAGGAAGGAAAGAGTAGGGGGTGGGGGTAGTGGTGGTACCTTCAGAAGCCTCTTGGGGCGTGTCCTCACTGGGGGTATTGCTCTGGCTCCAATCTGAAGAGCTGTGGAGGATCTGCACCAGGAGCAGTCTCTTCAAGGACACCAGGTCTGCCTCCCTCAGCCTGACCTCCAGCTGACGGAGAGTGGAGGGGCCGGGATGACTGGTCACCACGGTAACCTGGATACACATGCCACATCAGGACAACTACAAGAAATGACTTGTATCTGTGTTCTAATAGATTACTAATATGTAGACAGTATCACAAAATTCAAAATTGTAAGAGTGCCCATGTAAGTAAGAAAATATCTATCTTTAAAGTGGGACTAAACACCTAAACTTCTCCCACAACTACATTTCAAATAGAGCTGCTAAACTGGGCAGTACCTTTTGAGTAAAGGGAGAGTGAAGGGAAAGGAGGACTAAAAGAGAGAATGAGGAGGAGGAAAAAATCAGGCTCTGCACATGTGAAGAACAGGGTGATTGGTCTAATCAGGCTGTAATTAGGGCAGTCATGAGTGATGTCACATAGTCCTTAAACTCACAAATGTTCTTTTGAATTTCAATTAAGAATGAAAAATAATAAAATGTGGAAACAGTTTGTTATTTTATTATTCTGTTTTAGTGTCAAAAAACATATCTCCTCTATTTCCAACATTTACTTTAAAGTTTGTTTCAAATAACACCAATCAAAAAACATTGTGCCTATTTAAATATGGATATTTTATTGTCTTTGATTTATATACCTCAGAAGTTCTGCTGTTATGCTGCCTAGCACATATTTGAAAGTTTTTGGAAGCATCAGTCTGTATCACAGGATGTTAGGCTACCATAGCTGCCATCGAGATCCATGCTAAATACATCAAAGAGTGGTTTGACACATGCGGAAATTTCCGCCACACTGAAGGAAATGTAATTAAGATGTGCTCAGAAATGAATATTCAAAGATTTTGTGAAAAACACTACCTAAGACACAAAGGACTGGTTACCGATGCAAAGTTGGGCTCATTTTGTAAACAAACATGTCCTCTTCTTTCATCGTGACATGTTTACTTTCATGTCTTAGAAAGTAATTGTTGAACTCCATGATGAGAAACAAGTAGCAGCGAGGCGATAAACTGTGTGAATAAAATACCAAAATTGAAATAATGAATGTTTTCTGATTGGTATTATTTGAAATAAACTTCAAATAAAATAGAGGTCAAAAATCTGTTTTTTGTTTGACAATAAATGGAATAATGAAATAACAAACTGTTTTCCCATTTTATTGTTTTTCGTTCTTAAATGAAATTAGAAAGAATGAATGGTACACGAACTGATAATCTACAACGCTGCTTAATATTTAATTTGGACATGACATTAAAAACAAAAAAAAAAAAAAATCAAGTGGATTTTTCAGAGTAATGGTTTACTGAATGTTTGAAAATTACTCAAACATGTATCAACCACTCTCTACCGTTCAACACTTAAGATTCCAATCTTAAAGTAAGATTAACAGTGCAGCTGCAGAAAGGCTTTTAGAGATCTCCTTTGAAGTGGTCCAGCCTTTTGAAAACAATAGTACATTTGAAATGGTCCATCTGATGCGGCAGCCATTTTGAATGTTTTGAAATAAGAAATTCACTGAAAGAACACACTACAGTACCCTCTGCAATCACTCAAGAGTCAAGTCCTTTCAAGTCTTAATAAAGCTGTCAGTGTGACTATAAGTAACTCCAAAGGCAGTGTTTATTGGAAGTTAATGATTACAAAAACAAACGTAATATTCTCAGACCACATGAAAAAACGAAATGATGAAACTAAATTAGGGCAACTATATATATATACTGTGTTAACCACCATCTTTGAACTTAACCAAGTGCTCTCTCCCACATGGATCGCTCCATTTTACTGTAGGAAAGAATGGACATGCTTTGATTCTTATTATTTGAAACTAACACAAATCATTCATGTGGGCCTGTTACATAACACATTTAATACCCATATGTTATTTATACAACACTATTTTCAGCTTTTTTACTGGTTTTGGTTGATATTGGGCATTGCCAGATACAAACCGTATTAACCGTATTGGAAAGAAAAAAGTCTGGATTGGTGCATTTTATTTACCCCAACACACAAGTGTAATCTGGCAAATTTATTTACAAGGATCTGTGGCTGCCATGGCCATCGTTGACTGCTCTTGTGGCTGACTGGCTGGCACACTGAGAAGTTTTCAAACTTTTTTAACTTTTTTGTTTTTCCTGTATCCATGGAGATCCAGCTTGCAGGGCTCTACGCATTTTTATTTTTTTTTCTGCAGCATGTGCCCCTAAGTTAAACATTTTAGGAGCACAGAAAAAAATGGGGGTATAGGTTTTGAATGTTTATTACAGTGCAGAACTTGCACACACCAACACCAACTTATAAGAATGAATTTTATACAAAAAAAAATAAAAGATTTATGAGTGTACTTTTCCTGTATGATGGCTGGTGTTGGGTTGGACCCTTGAGTCATGGATCTGTCCAAGGTTTTTTCCTACAGAATAACATAAAATTTAAATTTAATTGAAAAAAAAGAATCTCCAGACTAAGTTTAGACAAAAATCATAATTGGTGTCCAGGATTTGTAATTAGGTCGACGTGACCTCTTCTGTGGCCCGCACTCACACCTGCACGGCTGGGCCGATGGCGTCGTCATGTGATGCTGTTTGTTTGAATGTCCCGCAGCAGAGCTATTGCTTAAGCGGAGAAGGAAGTCCAGCGGCATGGGGTGTCTACTGAGTGGTTGTGCAGGTGAGTGTCCTGCTGCGATGCACACTCCTCTGTGGATTTGTGGATGTAGTGACAGCGCAGAGGGGTAGAGACATCGGCAGACAGGGTTGGGGAACTTTTGTTACTGTCCATGGTCCTCGTTGAAGGTGGACCTTTTTTCCCCCAACTTTTTACACAACTGCAATGGACTTTCTATACCAAATACCTTTGAGGAAATGTCCTGTCTCAGGAGAGATTTTCTGTTGTGTCTCCAGAGTTCAGAAAGAGTTCAGAGTTCATTGCCCTGACACTGGATCTGATGACACTACCTTATGAGCTGCACTGATGAGACTTTTGTTTGGGTTTTCTATTATTGTTGCATTTTTCTGCTCAATGTGCTTAAACTGCCCCTCAGGGATGAATACAGTGAGACTAACAAATCTTGTATGTGGATTTTCAGTATTGTTTCTTTCAAAAAAAAAAAATCATCTATTGAGTTGAATAGACCTGCTCTCTATATAAAATAATGACATCAATTATGTGCGGTGAACTTAATGTACTTCCATGAGCAGCAGGGACCCAGCTGAGGAAGCACCAGTGACTGACAGTATCCCGGCCTGCAGATGAAGCTGTGATGCCATTATTGAAGTCTTTCCTGATAGGGTCCATATGCAGGGCTGCTTTGGGCGAGACACAGGGGCCGGCTCTGTCCCCTCTCCTCTTCCCGTGTGAGCTGAGTGTCTGAGGGGACAATGGTGGCAGTGTGCTCAGGGGGGAAACAGAGGCAGAATTTAGCTCTCTCCATCAGCAGCTCCACACAAAGGCAGCGTGGTGTCTGGAGCTTTTTACAGGCTCCTACTTTGTTAATGGTGAGATGAACAATGCTGCTTGTGAAATGTGGGACAGCGATAAAATGAACACACAGATGTTGAGGGCTCAGTGGTTTAGCCTTGTAGAAGTTAAAAATAGAACACAACATGCAAGTAGACTATTACAGACAGGGCATTTGGGAGCTTTTGAACGAAGGCTTACATTATACGTTGTGGCTAAAACACAAATAATATATCAGTACAGAAACAGCACAATAATAACTATATGCAGGTAAAAACTCCGACACTTATTTCTTCACATTTGCCTGAAGGAAACTTGATGCACCCTGAATATGGTGATCAAGATAATGCAAAAAAATACTAAGATATTTTGTGAGTACCATCCGCCTTTAATTATTTTGCTTATATTGTGTATTTTTATTCCCATTCTGAAAGCAGAATGAGCCTCACATAAGTCTCTCATTCGGATTTGAGAGTTACAATGCTGAAATCCAGTTGGTTTAAACATAAAGACTCTCTCTGAATGGTCACTACCTAAACTCCAGCATCTACAGCCAATCGCTCATCAGTGCTAATGCAGCCTCTGCTACCCTTGCACAGCAATATGGGTTCTCACGATATTTGTGAGTTCACAGTAGGGACGGGCATTCGATGAAATGTTCTTAATCAATCGTCAGAAGAATTAACGATTGATTATCGATTAATCATTAATGTTTTTATATTAAAATGATCATCATTATTATTACTATCTGCACTACTAATCTGCATAAATAAATTCAACTTTACGACATATAAACCGTAACCACTCTAGAGCCACATCAATCCGTTTGACATTATAATGTGTTTAATTCAGTTTTGCGCAACTCTCACAGAAACAAAACTTAAAACCGCATCGCTAATTTGCATAAACTCAGCGAAGATAAAACTACAGCTCTTCTGCGCTGATGCAGTTCAACTTCTGTCGGATTAAAGGACACGACTCAGTGGAATACAAGTTAGTGTGACCATATTTGCATTTGTCAAAACCAGGACACCGTACGGGCAGTGGGAGGTGGGGACTCGTCATCGACTTTGTGCGACTCTCACCTGGCAAAACTTTTTCCCACTGGACACTGAAACATATGTGCTGCTTTATACACTGTGCACATGGACTCACACTTGTCCCGAACGCAACGGAAAGTGTGGAATTTCTTGTACAAGTCATTGTTAAATAAGCATTTGTGCTTCGGTACGTTGCAGACTGTGTCTCACTCCTTCTGAGTCACAGAGCTACATGTACGGACCCCTGTTTGGTCACGCTACGCACAGCAACCTGCATTCGGTTTGTCGATTAAAATTAACGTAATCAATGAAATTCTTAATGATCAATTATCAATTAATCGACTAATCATGCCCATCCCTAGTTCACAGACTCACGAGAATCTTGGGATGCCCCTGCTGGTGACACGATGGCCAGGTGATTGGTGCACCAATCACGTCGCAGCATTGAGGTTTGTGTGGAAAGCCAAGTTGAAATGTACTTGAGTCTATTTCAGCGTCAGTACTTTTCTGGATATTTCCCTCATATTGTGTGTTAGTGTGTGTATGTATGTGTGTGAGGAAAGCGGCGGGTGTGTCCTGACCTCCACAGAGCAGTTGTTCTGGGCTGCCTGGGTACCGCTGGTGGTGCTGGTGTGTCTCTGGTACTGCTTGTACTGCTGCAGACTGTCCAGCACAGCCTGTCCCATGAGCAGTGCTCCTGTGTGGGCTCCACGTACACAGCCCTCCCCCGAGAGAGACCGGAGCTCCTCCACACACGAGTGCAGCCGGAGCAGGTTACCACGCACAGGCTGCAATACAAACACACACACGCGCACACACACACACACACACGCACACACGCACACACGCACGCACACACACACACACACACACACATAAGGAGAGTTATGTTTTTCAGATTAGAGTCAGCAGTGCAGTGTCAGTCAGGACTGTTTGTCCAAGGAAGTTTTTAAAGAACCTCCTTCAAATGTCTTCTTACTTAAAGAATTCTCAGTGAAATATTCTGCAGTGGGTAGATTTACTTTTTTGATAACAAATTCTAACTTTCTATACTGTTGCTGTAACAATAATACTAGCTTTTTGTCATCTCCAATACGAATCTTTGGTAGACTCAACATACAACATTGTCTGTTTGTCAGTAGTAGAATTACTATAATGGTCACTTCAGTAGTCAAAGTAATAATACTTTGGATGATTACTTTGTAATACTGCAATATATCAATACTGTCCTTTACTGGTGGTAAATATCTAAGTATGTAAGTATGACAGTATGTAATATTCCATAAACATACATATATTTGTGATGGTAAGCACATAGGGTTGTCAGGTTCAGTGCTGAAATCCAGTTGGTTTAAACCTATAGTGTTTCTCTCTGATAGGAGAGGACCTGCACCAATACTCTATCAGAGCTAGTGCAGCCTCTGCAGCTCAGGGAGGGAATTCTGGAGGTTCTGAGCTTTCACATGAGTTTGTCCTGTCCATGTACTCAGTTGTTAATGCAGTATATTTATCAGCAGAGTGGATGTGCACACACCCAGAGGGTAGAAAGCACAGCTGTCTGTGTGGTTAACATGTGTGGTTAAGTTGCAACGCTAGCTAGCACTGTGTCAGAGCACTAAAACACTTGTGTGATAAAAGACGTTCTGTTGCTAAATGAACATTAGTGAGTGGGATACGTCTTAATGACCCATGCGTTAAATTCAGGTGAGTGGGTAAATGATGAGAAGAAATGGCCCAAACTTCAGTAGCAAACATTCTTTCATCCCTGATGGACACGCCTAGCCCCGCCCCCCAAAAAGTCTACAAGACACTGACATGATACATGACATGACAGGGGCTCTTTCTGCAGCCACATAAACGGGGCAGGATGTACTCTGATACTCCCTCTATATTATGCAGTTTTCTGATCTGTTCTAATGTACAGTAGTTTCCTCATCACAAACAGACCAGGAGTTGTGTTTTGTTTCATTCACACGTTTAACACACAAACTCTGCAAATTAAACTGAAAACATTTTTCATTTCATTCCTTTTTGTGATGTCATGTGGTAATACAGGAAGTGTTCCACTTTTTAAACTCCATTTACCTTCACTGGAATCATTTGGATAATATCAGCCCTAGAATTGCCAATCTCTACAAAAAAGGGTAAAATGTAGATGGTAATTAAACTACCACTACATGACATCACAAGCTCTGGAGATGTAGACTGGTGGATAATAAAGCATTATTCAAACATGTCTAAATGAACCAAAACACAACTCCAGGTATGTGTTAAGGAGGTAACAACATTCTAACATGGCTTAAACACATAAATGACTCACAAGAGTCAATTATGTGTAATACTGGCACTTAAAAAAAACAAACAGTGAGAGCAAAGGTATCATACCACCTCTTTAATATATACCAAGCTCAGAAAGTACTGTGTAGAAGAGACAGATGAAACTCTTGTAACATTTAAAAAGGTAGTCCCATCTCTACACACACACACACGCACACACACACACACGCACACACACACACACACACACACACAAACAGGTATCCGTACCACAAAGGGCAGCAGACACTCCTGCTGATGGCTGATGGCGTACACAGTGAGCAGGGGGATTCTTGTGGGCCCGTCCAGACTGGAGGCCAGGGACAGCACATTCTCTAGAGCCTCACAGAGCACCCTGCTGGTGGAGGACCACCAGGGTGGCAGGGCCTCTACCACCAGCACCTGTGCGGGCTGACAGGGGAAGGACCACCCGCTCACCAGACTCCCTGTCGGGGACGCACCTGACACAACTCGCTTCCTCTCCATCTGAAACACAAAGCATCAGAATGAATTAGAAACGTGATCATGCTTTTCTTGCAGAGCTACAGTGGAACATTAAAGGGCTCCTATGACACTTTTCTCTGATCTGTGTTATCATGTTGTTTCCTCATTAGGGCTGGGTATCATTAAGAAGTTGCCAATATGATACATACCTCGATACATAGGTCATGATACGATGTTTTTCAATATGTTTTTCGATGCGAATCCATACAATATATTCCAAATCGATACAGTTCAGTGAAAAACAAAGGCTAAATCATATGATATGATATTGACAAGTCTACTAAGTCCATGAAATTTGGGCAAAGTTAATGAAAAACACCCATTTTACTCATAAAAACTGTGAAAATGTCAACACAGTTGTAGCTCTTGCACAAAATAATTTAGTAAAATATACGTAAAAATACTCTTGGCAATATATTGATACAGCAGCCCACTATATCGATACATTATCATCAAATGAAACCACAAGATACATCAATATTCCAGTATTTTTGCACACCACAATTCCTCATCACAACCAGACCGGCAGTTTTGTTTCATTCACACATGTTTAATACACAAACTTGCATATTTAGGCTCAGTGCTTCGTTCAAACTGTTCCACTTCATGATGATGTCATGTGGTGATACAGGAAGTGTATCACTGTGCTTTTAAACTCCATACATCTTCACTGAAATCATTTGGATGATTTCAGCTCTGGAATCCCAATTAAACAAAAAAGGTAAAAGGAGCTGTTCACTTGAAAGCTACCACTTCATGACATCACACGGTGGAACAGAGCATTTTGAGATTTGGAGATGCAGACAGACTAATAATAAAGAATAGAGTGAATAATAATATACTCTCTACTCCTTGTAGAGCTGTGCTATCAACATCATCAATAGACAACAAATGAATCATCAGATTTGGAACAATGATTTACAGTTAAAACCTCGAGGAAGTATTATCATTTGTTTTTATTATTTATGCAGCTGGTACATTCAAATGAGTACTCCAGGCTGATTGATGGAAGTGTCACAATAGACTGTAAACAAGTGGACTAAGAGAGTGTGACGCAAAGCTTTTGGCAAAGGCCTGTTGCCCTCCAATATCTGTTTGTTAGATGTTTGCCTCCCATTCTCTTATATCCCTTTGTGGCAGATCATGTAGAGGTGGGACCAAGTCGTTGTTTTACAAGTCTCAAGTAAGTCTCAAGTCGAGTCTCGAGTCACTGGCCCACAAGTCCAAGTCAAGCCCAAGTCATCTGCTTTGAGCCTCAAGTCATTTCAAGTCTTTAAACCAAAGTACCAAATATAGCTTAGATTTTTGCAATTTATACGAATTTTTACCTAATAGTACTTAAAAAAATCACAGTATATTTAAATATGTGTATTTATGTAATAGATGTAGAAATGCAATTGTTTCCTTTTTAAATGTCTTGACAAGATCTTAGTGTGGTCAAAACAGAAAGAATTCAGATTTAAAAGTGCTTAATAACTGTTATTTTGTCTGCACTGAAATGAAAGAATCGTGTTCTCTGTACTTCATTCTGTTTTACTGTGTTGTACATTTACTATAGTACATTTGAGGATACCACATCACAGTACTTCAGTTACATCCAAAGTAACAAATACTGTAGAGAAGTGGAAGCATCAACTGTAAAGAGAAAAGTATTCTCTAAAAACATACTTTTAGCATCAAGTATTCTTAAGTCACAGGGCTCAAATCCAAGTCAAGTCCCTGACCTTCGAGTCCAAGTCAAGTCATGTCTTAATCCAGGGGTGTCAAACTCATTTTGGTCCAGGGGCTGTATCCAATCTGCTTTTTTCCAAAGGGGCCGGATCAGAAAACTCATGGCATATAAACCCCAAAAATAACAACAAGTTCAAATATTTGTGCAGAGAAACACAGATCCATTACAGAAATCATTTTAAATTGATGAACTTTCTTTTACAAAATATTATAATATTATGAACAACCTTAAACTTCAAGAAAAATGCAATTTCAACACAATGTTTTAACATGAACTTGTATGCACATAGGAATAAGTCCATTTTTTCTTGGAAAATCCTGCACTCGGCTCCACTTTTCTCATGTTGGACATTTTTCTGATGAGGGTGTCACGGTCAACAGTCAAAACGATCGTCCTTTAAGAGCGTTTGGAAAGAGACAAGTCTTCATTTGTGCTGCTCTGGTGGGAGGGGCCATGTACAGAGGCTCTGGAGACGCTGCTATGCTCAGCACTGCAGAAAATTACCAATATTTTAATAGAAAATATAATTCAAATATTTTAGTAGAAAATCATCCAAGGGCCAGATTAAAGGTCTTGGAGGGCCGGATCCAGCCCCCGGGCCTTGTGTTTGACACCCGAGTCTTAATCCATTTTATCAAGTCAAGACTCAAGCCCTAAAAATAGTGATTCAAGACTGACTCAAGTCCAAGTCACAACTTGCAAGACCCCATTTCAGTCAGATGCCCTCCCATATTCTGTGTATCAGATGCTTGTTCTCCTGCATCCCTGTGTGCCAGATGCCCTCCCATGCTCCTATCTCCCTGTGTAAATCACTTCTCCCACTCTTCTCTATCTCTATGTGTCAGATGCCATGACAGATGCCCTCACGTCCATCTGCCACCTCGGTGTGTCAGATGCCGTCCCACGCTGTGTCAGAAGTGGTGTAAAAACAGCAGTATGATGCAACAGTCTGGGAATAAAAGAAAGACTTAATTCATGAGGGAAACCAGGCCATTCAAAGCACTGAGCGAGATCAAACCGACGCCACATGTGAAGTGAAATCTAATGTTCTGCTTTATTTTAAAATAAACGATTCAACAAAGAGTCGTTCAGAAAAGAACAAGATGAGCTGCTGGAGAGGGAAGCCCATGTATGTCACAATGTGTTTGTAGAGATCTAAACTACAGGGAGAGCATCTGACACACAGGGAGGGCGTCTGACACACTGGGAGGCCCTGGTTTATGGTTCATATTTCTAATTACTAGGCCTATCCACATGAAGACAATACAAGCACAAAGTTCAACGTCTTCTTTGTCAGGAGAAATAAGCAAAAGTGAAATGATGTTTTCACAATCACTTCAGAAAGCAGTGCCAGTATTCATCCCCAAAGACGTGATTCTTGTCAGTCGAAAGGACTTCAAGTTGGAAGATTAATATGACAGGTTTGTGGAGTCAATCCCAAACAAATAATAATGATAAGGAGAAACAACTGCAGATTAGAAGTTTGGAGATTTCTTTCAAAAACAGTGAATCTCCCAAAGAGTTATATAGATCTCCATCTGAGATTATGACATCATCAAGTTCTAGTCCCTCATCCAAAACATGCCTAAAGTGGTCTTAGATGTCATCCATGCATGTTTGAGTCATTTAGTGATCTCTTCTTGGCCCTATTCAAACCATCCTTATGGTAAACTGTAAGATTCCAAAATTTTCCATAAATATGCAACATACAAAACATTACTAAACTGACAAACCTGATGCATAGTTTCATTTGTGGGATACATGTTGATTGTGTTGTGATGGTGCTCTGAATGGGGGGTGACTTAGTGCTGGAAGCAAAGGAAAATGAAATATCAACATATCATAACGTTTAATGTGATGGGACACATTTAACATTTTCACTGTTTTGAGGATTTCACATGAACTTTGCACAAGCAGTGGTTTAGTCTTTGACACGGTATCACATGATTTAGCTTTTGTTTTTCATTAAACCATATCAAATTGATTTGAAATATATCATATTGAACTGTATCGAATCGTAAGATCACTGTATAGAGGTATGTATTGTACTGTGGTCGGTGTGTCAAGGTATGTATCGTATCGTCAACTTCTGAATGATACCCGGCCTTAGTAAAAGGTAAAATCTAAATAAGTTGTGTATAAATGGTTAATACCCCATAGAAGTCAAACACTCCCTCTTTAAAGGACATTATATAACTGCAGTCTTTGTGGTGACAAATGAAAAGTACTGGTGTCAGATAAGTGCTTGACATGTAGCAGTAGAGTAGTAGCTCGGCGTTTACAGAGATGTTATCAAGTGACTGGGCTCAGATCCGTGCTCATGGGGAATGCCTACACTCGACACCAAAGGCCTGTTATCTTAAACATCAGCGCTTCAGTCGTTTGAACTGCACACGACAATGTCCCCATATCGCATTTTACCGTCATGCAGATGGTACGAACCAACAGAAAAGAACAAAGCTCGGGACTGTGACGCCACACCTCATAGAATGTTCACCGAGCATAATGTGAAACAATGGAGATTTAACGATGATAAAAGCTAATCTTAGCCTTCGTTGAAATGTTTTATAACACTACAGAGTGACAGACGTATTTACCAACAATGACCCATCAACCTGTCACCATCACACTTTTGTTTACTTAAAAAATTGCATAGGCTCAAATATGTCCGCGAGAGCTTTGCTCTTCTGCCACCGAGCTTTACTGGTGGCTTTCAGATTCTAGAATGTGATGATGTACTTTGCCATGAAATATCTAGAAGGTAAATTGTGATTATTATAAATGATGATAAATGATTATACAGAATTAAACTCAATTCCAAAGTAAGTGGGTTGTATATTACAGTTTTAAAGCTGAATTAATGTATTACTCGATCATGTAAACGTTTATTCTTCTTAAAAATAATTCCAGTCATTCAGTGCATGCTCGTTGGGTCGCTCTTCTGACGCCATCCGGACAATTCGGCTCCACCAGCCCTCGCTTCTGACTTTCATCCACTGCTCTTTGAATTTGCGAGTGGGATGCGGAAGTGGGCTGAGGTAGAAACACTCTTCTCTTCTCCTCCTCCTGACCTATAGAGGCTGTGATGTTATCTGAAACCCAGTAATTGCTGTTTCAGATGACATCACAACGTTCTATAGGCCGATATTATTTAATATAGATGGGGGCAACTAAAATAAATACTGTTAAAATAAAACAATAATAAAACAATGTTAGTTCTGCTCAGTAGTTCACTAATGCTAATCATTGTTTGCCTTTAAGCTTTTGTCTTTTGAACCTTGATAGTTGTGGATAAATTCTTCATGTTAGAATGTTTATCCTTTGTGGACATTGTGAGTTGAAGATTTGGTGATGAGGCAGATTTATGAAGCTGGTAGAAAATACGCAAGATATTTCCACAGACATTGTCACAGAAAAGCATTAACCACAACCCTACAGCGAGGCACTGGGTATTGTGTAAAAGGTCTATTATAGTAAAGATTTGTAAATAAACTTTTCTGGATATTTCATGACAAAGTACAATGCTATTAAAAGGCATCTGTCTCTTTTTGGGATGATATCATGACATTTTAGAATCTGAAAATCACCAATAACTGACACAGTTACTGCCTTTTGCCTTTATGCAACTCCTTATTTTTGGATCATGATACAAAGGCAGATAACAGGAACTGACAAATAAGGGTCAAAGGTCAATTTTGAGCTCAATATTTTTCAGGAGGTCTCAAATGTAAACAAAAATACATGAACTCATTTTAGACCAAACATGATGTTACGGCATTCTGTGGAGCTCTACAGCCCGCAGGACCCCACGCAAAACAGTGTGGCGCGGGACACATTTAGAAAATTCATTGCGAGTACTAGCGGGAGCGGGAGCGAGATGAGACTACACAACATGGGAACGTAAAATATAGAAATGATGAATGTAAATTACAATTCTTAGCCTGAGCGGGCAGGAGCTGAACTAAAAATTCTATCCCGCGCAGACCTCTAGCATTCTGCCTTTTTTCTGACGTGAGCACTGGAGCACAGAAACTCTGGGAAAAAGCAACCCTGGGGTCATAAGTGCAGCATAAGTGAAACAGTATAATTCCCTTGCGGATAATGTAACATCATAGTAATATCACATCATCAAACTGCTCTAAATGTACATAGATAATCAAAATACACAAATATATCATTAAAACACTGATAAGAGTGATGTTAGAAGTACTTATGAATACTTTCCCGATTGAATTAAGCCGTTTTCCTCTCCCTACAACTTTATAAGTTCCAAGTTCAGGCTAGGCTAGGCTAGGCTAGGCTAGGCTAGGCTAACTATTTTTTAGACACTTACTTTTGTGCGCTCAGCTGCTTCTCTTGGTCAAACTTTGATTTAATTGCGTCTGAATAAAGGATCCTGTTAGTACAAACTGAAAACAGTCCTAAGATGTCACTTGTTGTGTACATGAGAAGAAGCAATGAAATGTAGAGAATAAGAGAATGAGCCAGGTAGCATGTCGAGCACAGATGCTAACAGGAAGTGGAGACTGCAGGCTTGTTTGTGATTGGTTGCTCAACTACTACAATGTTTATATATTTATTATTTATTACTAATTATATTTTATTATATTGGGTTTTTAAGAAGACAGATAATATATTTGTGGGAAATTATGCTATTTTACTTTTTATTTATTTAATTTTATATTTTCGTAATTTTCGAAACAATTTATTATATTTATTTTATTGATATTTTAGCACATCTATCACAGAATTTTTCCTTAAATGTTACTTGCCATAGTAATTTTTAACAAGAACACTTGAAGATTTTTGTGCCAGATGTCCTCCCATTTGTCAGATGCCCTCCCGTCAGTTCAAATCTGCAGTTAATGTGCAGATGTTGTGGTTGGATAAACACAGCAGGATAATGGGCCTCATAGTAAACATGTTTAGGATGCACATGTTAATATTTCTCTTATACATATGTTGTTTGACTATCACATCCTGACATCTGCACGCATGCTGTAGTCCACCATGTTGGAGTCTCTGTGTTTGATGTCCCTGCCTCACATTGGTGCCGTGTGCAGCCTGGGGACGGGCACATGTGGTGGGGCCGTGTGCACAGGTGTTTTGGGGAGATAAGGTGAGCCTGTTTGATGGATGTACTGAGCTATGTGCGTGCATGTGTGTGTGTGTGCCACCCTTGGTTGCTCCTCCCTGTGCCAGCCTTGTGGAAGAGCAGACCTAAGCTGTACTCAGACTGAAAGTTGAAATATTTATATATACATTACTGGGACATTATTGGTTAGTTGGTAAAGTATTTAGGTTACATAAAACACAGTGCATCTTAAAGGAATGGTAGGCCTATTGAAGATTTTGATTTCAAGTTCCATAAACATGGCATCTGTGTCCCCAGATACAAGGTTCAAACATGTTCAGATCAGATAACATGTAACAATTATAAAATTGTTGTATTTTTTTTTAAAAAGAGAAAGAAAGAAAGACTCCTAAAGAATGAATTAGACCTTTTAGACTTTTCTACCATGTTATAACATTGTTCCCTCATCAAAACATGCCTGAAGAGTCATAGAAGTCATCCATGCAGGTTTGAGTAATCTTGTGATCTCCCCAGGGCACTGTGGACAAAGGCCGGGTCACCAGGTACTCCACCAGCCTCAGACTTGGGCCCAGGATGGGCCAGGACCACTGGAGGGTTGTGATATGGTTGATAAGGTTGTGTTCGTTTGTCCATCTGACTCGGAAGTCCTAGCTCACTGACAAGCCTGTTTTCCTCAGACAGAGCAACTCGGAACTCGGAAGAGCTCAGAGGAGACCGAGCAAGGTTTCTAAGATAGAATCCAAGATCGCTGCGCCCAGTAATATGTAATATGAACTGTTTTCATTGTGTTCGGTGGTTTAAATGACAATTTCAGTCACTCGTATCACTGTACTGCGTCTGTATCACTGCCTATGGGTAGGGTAGCTTACTGCAGTACCTTACTGCACCCGTATCACTGCCTATCAGTGTGGTGGTCGATGTCGCTAATTCTTTTAGCCCATTTCCTAGCTAACATGCCAAAATGATGTACTGTCACGCGACACCAACACTTTCACTTCACTAATATACTGAATTCTTCCTCGAGGTTGCAGCTTTTCAGTTAGTGTCTATGTTCTTCTCCAAGTCGGGCACAAAAAAATAAAATAAAACAGTTGAAGCATGGATATCATATCCGAGAACTGAGTGGGAGATGGATGGATAAATGAACCCAGCATAAGTTCACAACTGGTCTGGAAACACCTCTGGGTCCTCTCAGAGCAGCTGGAGGAAGTGGGGTGGGGAAGTCTGGGCCTCTCTGCTACCTCGGCCACCCAGCCCTGTATAACAATGAACAGAATTCTACACCAATGCAACCACTTTTACACCAAAATATGGCAGAAGATGTTCCAGAGTCTGTCCCATCTCATCATCGATCAAAACCCCAGAGCAGAGAGAGAGGTTTAAGAGAGGCTTTCTCTTATGTTTCCAGAGCTAACCTGGTGCCCCCTGGAGGCTGCTGTGATGCTGCAGGACACTTTTGTCCTGAAGTTCTTACAGTCCTCACTGTGCCCTGACACTGGATCGATGACATTACTTGTGGAGCTGCACTTACGCTTTTGTTTGACTTTTCTTTGAATCTAAACTGCCCTTCGGGGACAAATGATATTGGTTTGATTTGATGGAGGGGAAAGCTAAAGGCTAAAGCTAAAGTACATCTCCTCTGTCTCATGTTCAGTGTTTTGTCCTTCCACAAGAGGTGTATTTGTGATCCTGCTCAGACAGACACATTAAAAGTGTTGAATGACCAAAGAGGCTGTCATGTAAAGCCTTTGTTCGCACACTGTGGAGCACTGAGCTCATGATGGCTGCATTATGTATTCTCTGAGTGCATCCTGGCCCAGACTCCTCTAATCACACCAGGAGAGGTTTGAGAGGTCTGTCGCCATGGAGACCAAATATGAATATCCCAGGGTGAATAATGGGCCTGATTTGATTTGATTGTGGAAGTGGCAATGACGGAGAACTAATGAGCCGGTGGTGCTGATAATTAAAGGACGCTGCTTTCATTTAAACAATATTTAATGAATAAATAACCAAAAAACAGGTCAACAGCAAATCTGCCGTCTGACAGTTACACAGCCATTTCTAAAATCCAGTTCTGACCTGTCTTCTGTGCAACATGTTTTTCCGATTTGCCGTAGACTATTAAAGCAGACTCAGTGTGCTTGTGTGTGCCCAATGGTTGTAACCTCTGACACTTGTGGATCATTATGGACATCATTTGGACATTTTTAAACACAATATTCATTTAAAACCACCGAATAAAAGAACCAAGTACACTGACTTGATATGCAACACTGCAGAAACCTATGTGTATCACCAAATAAGAAAATAAAATTGTAGAATAAAGTGTGTACGTCACAGTGTACCTGCGGAGCTGAAACCGGCGGTAGATCGGCAAAAATTCATCTTGAAAATAAGCAATTAAAGATTACTCAAGATCACTCCAAATACAACTTCAGAGTGCAAATGGTGAGGGGAAACTAGCTCCTATTCTGCAAAAAAAAAGTCAATTTTGCAGAATAGGTCTGATTTGACTGTTTAAGACCGAAGGCAGCGTATACGGCACCTGGGAATATGTTTTATTTAACCACACATAACTTTCCAACCATGAAAGATAAAAACTTTCTTTTTTTTTCTTTGAAAAACTGAGAGGTGCAGCTTTCTGAACATATTCCTGGCATTTTCCTACATCACATGCGTGTGTGATGATGGAGGAATGATGAGTTTCCAGTAGGAACTTTGTTTTTTCCGCCAAACGCATGTGCTCCGTCCATTTTGATTGGGCCAAACTTTGCCAAAGAGTGTACAGAGTCAAAATGGACAACGACTTTGAATATATATGTTTGTGACAATTGAAAAAGCCGCTCTAAGTGCAGTTATTACTCAAATAAATGGCAAATTTACACATCTTGGTTTGCGTAATTGCATATCCCTTGCTATTTTTATTTGAAAGGTTTATTTCAGTGCAAATGTACAAACCCGAATGTAATAGTATAAACAAACAGAAGTGTCACAGTGAAATCTTATGTAAACCAAAATTAAAAACAGATATTTTAATTAAAGACTGTTTTGGTCCTGAACCTTATGTCACTCTGAAGTTGAGCAGAGGTCAGAGGTCAGTATATGCCCAGCTGGGGGGTGGGACTCTGCCTCTGGCTCTGGAGACGGGATGTTCCTCTCAGTCCCACAGTCCAGAGTCCCCCTGTGGGTCTTAAAGGACATTGAAAGTGAAATGCATTTTCAGTCCTGTGTATCATGACCTGCTCTGTCAGTTGATGTCTGATGTATCTTACTGTAGGTTTGAGAAGTCTGATGAGGAGAGACTGGAGTATTTGTTTAAATATAATGTTTTCAAGCTGGCTCAGTTTTGTGTTGAAAGCCTGGGTCAAGAGGACACTTTATACTTGAAGTGTGATCTGTCTGCTTATTGTTTTATGTGTCTTATAAGCCCAAGCAGAATGGGCAACAACTAAATGGTGCATGACACTAAACAAGTCAAATAAACTCAGCTGTAATAAACACCATGGAAATACAGGAAGTGATGTGGCTCTGTGTCCTGGACCTGACACCAGCTGTTTCCATGACTGGCACTAGTCAAGTCTTAGGACCAATGCACTTTTTTTGTTTTTGTTTTGAGGCAATAAGGATATTTTTTAGTTTACTTACAGACTTGATATTTTGCACTTTCTTTTATATCCAAAAAGTTGTTTATACATGTTTGCTTTGTGTTTGTGAAAGAGTGTGAATTTTTTTTTTCATTTGTTTTTCTGGTCCTGTAGCTTTTATTACAGCCATATGACACAACTACAGCAGACTGTACAGTCTGTGGTTGACTACAGGTTGTAGTGAAAAAAAGAATGTATAACACTTCATTAGGGGGTAAAAGGGGGAGTTTTAATAGCAAAATTAAGAAAAAAAAAATCCAGGCGAGGACAAATGTACTAAAATTGCTGTTAGGTCTGGAAGGGTTTAAATGTTACAAAATTAGAAAAGACTAGACATTTCTTTGTCAAATCTTAAGTCTACTATTAACTATGTTTTAGAGAAATTAGTCCAACCTGTCATATGTTTCATAAGTTTCAGTTTTCAGATGGTTTTATTGTAAATAGGCTGAGAGCTCAAATGAAAACAGTCCCATAAAGTAGCTCCTAGGGTTTTTTTTTTTTTTTACTTGGATCATATATTACTTCCTGGTCTGTTTGTGTTCCCTCTCAAATTGTGATTACAGAACCATCCATCCACAATGTTGGGGAGTAACAGATTACATGTACTGGAGTTACATAATCAGAGTACAAATTGCGAGTAACTGTATTCTGTTACAGTTACTGTTTCAGTGAGTGGTAATTGGATTACAGTTACTTTGTTAAAATAA